CGGGGTGCCGAGGCGGTCCACCAGCAGTCCGCCAGCGGTCCACCAACGGTCCACCAGCAGTCCGCCAACGGTCAGCCAGGAGTCCACCAACGGTCCGCCGGCAGTCCGCCAGCAGTCCGCCAGCGGTCCACCAACGGTCCACCGGCAGTCCGCCAGCGGTCCACCAACGGTCCACCAGCAGTCCGCCAGCGGTCAGCCAGGAGTCCACCAACGGTCCGCCGGCGGTCCACCAACGGTCCACCCACCACTAACGGTCTACCGGCGGTCCACCAACCACCAACGGTCCACTGGCAGTCCGCCATGTTTTTGTATTAAAAGATGTTAAGGTGACAGGAAATTTTAAAATATCACTCAGTAATTACACGGGAAAACATCGCCAGTGAAACACGACTTAAACCCACAGCTAGTCTTAAAAACAACAAATCAAAATATACAATTAAAATCAATGTCAATTATTTGCACTTCTGTTTAATCCAAATTAAGTCAGCGGTTCCATCGGGCCCCCAGGGCTTCAGGGGCCCCATAAATGCTAATATTTTAACACAGACCACAGATACATGAATGTAACACTTGTTTATTGAGATGATCAATGCTGCTAAATTTGATTCAATTTCATCATACATAAATTAAAAGATTTTAAATTAACATTTAAATGTAAGAGTTTAAGGAGCTGGTAAGTTTACTTTGTAGAAGATCAAAGAACAATATCCATAGTTAGATTCTTTTGTTACCATAGCAACAATCTGATGCTGTGAGTTTAATCTTTAAGTTTGAGCTGTTTGTTCACAAATACAAATTAATAAACTGGATTATAACTGGTTGCTTTTTAGGTTGGCCAATTAAACTCCTCCCCCTCTCTCTCAGATTAAATCAAACACAGAAGCTGTTAGAGGTGTTGATGTTATTAGCAACAAAAGGGGCCCCTAAATCAGATTCTGCTCCAGGCCTCATCCAGCCTTGGACCGGCCCTGCATGATGAGTTAAATCTGCTGCACTACACAGAGATGATGGCCGGTGTTTATGTTTATTTCCTAAAAACATAAACAAGAAAGGCTTAGCCTGGCGGTGGTGCTAATAAAGCATGGCGGCCGCCAGGCCTATAATAATACACTGGGGGAAACCCTGGATTAGGATGTTCAGTCAGAATGGATCCATATTTTTAGCACGCAATACCAAGCAGGGCCACAGGGGGCGCTGCAGACCTGCCACTGTCAGTCTTATTCACCTACACACAGAATGGAATTGTCAGCCATATTATGAGAGGCAAGTTAATTTTAGAAAATGAAACTACTCAGCTTGAAACCTGGTTACAACTAACCTATTAAATTTAATAGATTTTTTTAAACATATTTTTAGTTGTGGTTGTGAGAAATGAGGCTCACCTTAAGAGCCTTTCCTGTTAAACACATTTAAGGAAAGAAAGATGATATATTTGTTGAGACATAATTTTTTTTACCATTTAAAATAATTTTAAAGAGCAAAGGCTTGTGCTGACACAACAACATCAGCAATCTCTGGTTCCAGTCTGGAGGAAGAAAGCCACTCACAACATGGCCGCCATCACTGTTTAATCGCAGCTCCTCTGGCATTGCATTCCACCCGCTGTGTGACTGTTACCTGGCGTGTTGAGGGGCCCGGGCGAAGCCACCCCATGGTTCTGCTGGGGGGTTCTGGCGGTGACCGGGCTCGGCGACGGCTGAGGGGAGGGGCTGGGCTGGAAGCCGCCCGGAGACGGCGTGGGGCCGGAGCTGCAGACAGGAAACAGGAAGTGGTTAACAGGCAGAGGGAAGGGGTGTGGCCTCCGGGGAGCTGTCTTACCTGGCCGAGTTGGGCTGGGAGGAGGGGGGCTGCGGGGACGGCTGGGGGGGAGGCAGCATTTGAGGGGGGCCCCCCTGCCCAGGTGAGGGTGATGACATCATGGGATGCTGTGGCACCTGAGGAGAGGGAGGACAGCTCAGCCTGCGCTCCTGTTACCTGGACGACTCAGAGCGGGAGAACACACCTGTGTGGTCATCATCTGACCTCCGACCCCTGCCGTGCTGCTTGGAGGGGGGATGGTGGCATTCAGAGGTGGCCGAGGGGGGCGGGGCAGATTCTGCATCGGGGGCCGGACCATCTGCAGAGGTTAGCTTAACGTTAGCCTGACGCTACGCTATCATAGCAATAAACTTTTGCAACAATAAAAGTGACAATATTTATTTCTTCTTCTTCTTTAAGTAACAGTGTGACTTTGTGCCACAGCAACTACAGCCCCACTAACAGAGGAAGATTCCCACAGAAACGCTCCTCTTCAGGACTCCAGTCACATGAAGCTGTAACTGTATTTTTTAATTTACTGACGACTTCACTGAACAAACAGGAGAAAAAAGTTAAAGTTTCAACTTGTTTGGAATTTATCATGACAACAACGAATCAAAATTCTTATTCATCATGATAAAAGGCCATGACGTTAGCATGGGGAGGCCAGCCTCAAGGTGTCTCACCTGTCCAGGCACGGCGGCGGCTGCGGCGGCAGCTGCAGCGGCGTTGAGCTGCGCGTGCGCTGCGGCCTGCTGGGCCTGCTGCAGCGGCAGCGTGGCACGAGCCTGCTGCAGGCAGAGCAGAGTATGTGAGGGTTAGGGTGGGGAGCTGGACCCCCACCACCTCCAAAGCTAACTAACTTAGCATCAACGTTTGAGCTGCTTTCATTTTGAAGACGTTAATAAACCTCTGATGACCCCTGGAAACTTTTTACTAATATCTCTAAAATGAAAGTGGCAAAAGCCAAAATTTAACACTGATTTAGTTAGATGTGGAGGTGGTGGGGTTGGTCCAGCTTCAGCCTGGTGCGGTTCTGCTGGGCTCTGTTGCACCAGTCCAAACCCACCTGGAAGGCCTGCATCTTGAGTTGCTGTTGGTTCAGCGAGTTGATGGAGATGGACTGCGCCGGCATCTGACCCGGCAGAGACTGGGGGACGAGTCCGGGCTGGGAGTGAGGAGGCATCTGACCCGACTGGACCTGCTGCTGCTGCTGCTGCACAATCTGCTGGATGGACTGGGCCTGGTGCTGCTGCATCTGCAGTTGCTGCAGTTGCTGGTGCTGCTGCATCCGCGTCTGATGCATCTGAAGAGACAGGAAATGAGAGCTGGAGGACAGGAAGCAGCTGCTGACAAACATCACTGGAAGCGTCAGCAGCAGAAACTTAGCGAAACATTTTACACTGCAAGAACCAGCTTCCACCAGCAGATGGCAGAGTTGCAGATTGAGGGTGAAATTAACTCAAACAGCTTCATTCATTCATTAATATCATTAAAACTAACGCGGAGCGGAGTCTGACTAACGCGGAGCGGAGTCTGACTAACGCGGAGCGGAGTCTGACTAACGCGGAGCGGAGTCTGACTAACGCGGAGCGGAGTCTGACTAACGCGGAGCGGAGTTAGGACTGAACAGAATTGGTGTGAATGCAGCCTAAGAGTGTTTGTCTATTTGGGCGCCACCATGTTGGAATGTGTTAATAACTCAAATGCTGCTGCGTTGGTGGGACTCAGAGCTCTGAGGTAAATGGAATCTGAACATCTCCAGAACCCTGAGGGTATCTGGACTCGGTCCTGCTGCTGGTTCTGCTGGGTCAGTTTGTGGACAGACCTGGTTCTGCTGCTGCTGGTTCTGGACATGCTGCTGTTGCTGCTGCTGCTGCAGCTGCTGGTTCTGGGCATGCTGCTGCAGAGCGCGGAGCTGCTGCTGCTGCTGCTGGAACTGCTGCTGCTGCTGCTGCAGCGCGGCGTTCTGCTGCGCCTGCTGCTGCTGCTGCTGCTGCTGCTGGAACTGTTGGAACTGCATGGACTGCTGCTGCACCATCTGTTGCACCGACATCTGGCCCGGAGCGCCCACTGCAGAGAAACAGGGAGGGCAGGAATGACCCGGTTCTGGAGCCGGAGCCAGCCTGGAGTCGGCTCAACATGCCGAAGCAGGGAGGGAGAGAGAGAGACAGAGAGAGAGAGATGGAGAGAGAGAGAGCGGCACGCTCAGCACAGCAGCAGGAAACACACTCACTGGCTTGTGGGTTTCCCGGCACCCCGGCCATGGCATGCTGGCCTAGCTGCATCTGCCCCATGGCCCCCATGCCCCCCACCGCGGCGCCTGGGGCCCGGGGCCCCATGCCCATGCCCCCGCCTACCCCTGTCAGGTTAGTCAGGGCATTCATGGGATCTAGCAGAGGGCAAACAACAGACAACATTACGCAGCTCCGACATGCTCAGCAGAACCCCCACGAACCCGGCCGGAGCCGAACCCCACCCAGAACCCAGCAGGGAGCAGAGCTGCACTCACCGGCTCCTCCCAGCGCCTTCTTATCTGCAACACAAAGCCCAGCGGTGGTTAGCCTCACCCAAACACAACTAGCAACCGGAGAGACAGGAAGCTGCAGAACTCACGGATGTCCCTGAAGTGGATGATGAGCCGGGCCACCAGGGACAGGTACTCCTCCTGAAACACACACACTGCTGTTAGTGTCGGCTGCTAACCCGTTTCCCATCAGCCACCTGGGCACAACTCACTCTGGTCTTGGCTTTGATGAAGACGTGGTTCTCCATGTCCGTCCCAGACTTGTGTGTCGTGTTTCCAGAGCCGGCCTTCCTCATGGCGTCTTCACTGAGGAAGACCAACACAAACTACTCAGCAGAGTAAACATCGACATTCATTTTAACTGTCCAAAATATACAAAAATAATCGCAACAAAAGCCACAGAAATGACAGAGGACCATTTCTCATTCATCATATCTTAAACATGCAACTTCTTCAGACGCTTTAATTTATTTCATTTTTTCTGTGTCTCAGTGAGACCTCTCTGCTTTATAAATCTTTGTCTCTAAATAGTTTCAGTGTTTTCAGCCTCAATTATCAGAATTTAACTTAAATTACGTTAACAATCATAAATCGAACAGCTCAGGCCAACCTCCATAGTTTTAAGTTTTTTCATTTTATTTATGCTTCAGATGTGGTTATGTTTAAAAATTTAATGTTTATTTTTCATGCTGCATGTTTTTCTAATTACTGTTAAACTGAACAAGTCAATCCGTCCATTTAAAATGTGCCTTAATACGCCTCCTCTTTTTGGTCCTAGTGTTAAAATCCCTTCAAAATAAAAGGTTTTAATGATTTTAACTACGTTTTCAGCAAGAATATTGTTTTAGAAATAGGGCCTTTTGAGGAGACAATGCAGGCCTGCTGTTTAAGTTACATAAAACCTTTTTATTATTTGCATCTTTCTTTCTAAATTATCCTTGCAGTCATGTCTAAATGGCATTAAATACAAAGAATTCAGGAAGCATGGAAAGCCAAAAGTACCAGAGTTTAATAAATTAAAAAGTGAAAATAGTTTTTTATACATCTGACCATTTTATTAAAACTTAATGTGGATGCTTCAAATTAATTCATTAATCCCAAATAAACATTTTCCAAAAACTGTATAAATGGCGAACATTAAAAACACAGAAAATGTTATTTCTGCCTCCTGCCTAGTGAAAGCATAAAACACGAGGCTTAGAGCCAAGATGCAGTCCCACATTGAGCTCCTGGGTCATTCCTACAGCACACCTCACTGCTGTCTCAGTCTCGTACCTGTCCTGCACCACCATAACAGACTTCTCTGCCACTCCACAGCTCCTCTCTGCATTCTGTCTTATTCTTTTTCTACAGACACAGTGCAGCTCTCTCTAAACTTCTCCCTAAGCACAATTTAAAGTATTATACATGTCTTCATTAATCTGAATTAAATATGAAATCATCTGTCCAACAATGTCCCGCTGATTCTAATAGTTACTTTTGGTTTTATTTAGAGAAAGAGAAATTAAAATGTTGCTTAAACACTTTAACAGGCATCTCTATAAGATTTATATAAAACAGTTGCGTTGTGGAGTAAAAACTTCTTGTTTATAATACTATCTTCAACAGCTAATGATGCCAACAATAAAATCTGGTCAAAAAAAGACAAAACAATGGATTTTAGACGTTTTATTTGCGCCGAATTAAACATCGGTTTCATGCCCATAAGACCACCTGAAATGCAGTAGAAGTTTAGCACCTGACGGATTTTTGTGTTCAGTTTTTCTTAAATTGGCAGTTTTTACAAAATGTTAGCAGTTAGCTAAACCAAAAGCTAGCCTAGCTGAGTGCAAAACCGTGAAAAAGAAGCAACTTCCTCACATCTGAGCCACGACTTTCTGTCGGAACTGAGGGCTCCTCCAGTCGCTGTCGGCTCCAGGAACCTCCATGGCAGAATTGATCCAAAACTGACTTAATTTCTCTGTGTTCCAACTATTTTCGCCTTCCTTCTTCCGCTGCAGAGATAATGGCGGCGGTTCGGCGGATGTTAGCGCTAACGAACGCTTCCGCCCCCCTCTGGTCAGAATTAGATACTACATGGCACCAAAACAACAACACAACACAACGGCCCAGAGATATTTCTGCCCACATTTAGAGTCTCACAAACCAAATTAGAATATTTTATACGAATTTTAAATGGACAAATTGTATCTGTTTTTAGGTATTAAAATAAAGAAAAGTCTAAAACCTTTGCGAAGACATTGCAGGATATTGACGTCTGCTCTATTTGTTTTAATGTCATTTAATTCTGGAAGTTCAGAGCAAATTTAAAAACAGAAATTATGCTAATACCCACATTTCTTATACCAATATAAAAAACATTATTGATTTATTTACATGTTTTTATTAAGAGTCATTGTGGAAGGTCCAGACATGGTGGTGGTGGCAGTATCATGCTGTGGGGTTGCATCTAGCAGAAGACACTGGAATCTTGTAAAGCTCAGAGGTAAATGAAAGCAACAGGAGAACTGTGGCTTCAGAGAACATTTATTATCCATTGAGAGGATGACCTGAAGTGTTCTGTGGCTACAGCTACACAGAGATGGTTTGAGGTTCTGGAGTGGCCTAGTTAAAGCCCAGAACTATTCATAGCTGATCCACACCAACCTCAGAGGGAAAATGGAGGAAAACTGCAGTGTCCAGATGAGCAGCCCAAGGCACCTATACTAAAAACTGACTGGATGGGGTCACTTATTTTATGTTTAATATTTTTATTTAATGATTAATATTTTGTAGAAATCAGGTTTCACTTTGAAACTAAATCTTTTTTCCACTAATTTTTGTCTAATATGACAGATTGTATTGATCATGATTGATTTGAAACAATGAAAGGGGTTTAATACGGCTCTGTAATATAGCGTTACTATTCTAGCTACTAACGCTAAATGGGAATAGCAAACTAAAACGATATCAAGCAAAAGGGAAAAATAAGTATGATCTGAATCAGTAAAATTACAAAATGTAAAAACAAAAAATGAACAATTCAAAGAACAAATTCTGTTTAATTACAATAAAAATATGTTGTAGCTAAAATCTGAGAAATCCAGGAGGTCCAGTAGAACCAGAACCCGCTGAAATAATAAGAAACAAACTACACTTCCCACAATCCCACTCTGCCTGCCCAGAGGAACAGTCTGCTTCCGCTCCACGTGCAAGGAGGAGGGGCAGGAAAGTGTGTCACTGGGGCACGAGGCGCTCCCTAGTCACGTGGTCCCGTTTTCTGCCGCGTGCGGCAGCAGCGTCCCGGAACATGATGATGATGATGATGATGATGGGTCTGCGCGCAGTTTGAAGCGCGAGCAGCAGCTGCCCCAGAGACAGAACCAGAACAACGGCAGAACCGCACTCTTTCTGCGGGATTCCTGCTCCTTAGCTGCTCCCGCATGTTGACGCGGCGGCAAGTGTGCGAGACTGGACCGCAGCTCGGCTTGACGACCACCGACATGGACTCAAACAACAATAACTCAGGTAAATAACGTCTCTGGGTCCTGGATCCTGGTCTACGGGGGTTAGAGTCGGGCACGGCGCGCGTGCACGGTGTTTAATGGGAATTGTTGAGCTGCCGATGTGTCGGCGCGTGCGTGATGGCTGGTGCGGGGCTCGGAGTGGAGCAGAGAAGGTCACTGCGGCTGCGCTGCGGGGAGTTCGCCTAAAAACAGCCAGAACTTAACAGGAGTCCGGTCCAGTCATTTTTTAATAGGAGTCCGGTTCTGCTCTAGGGAACATTAGCCACACAGAGGGGCCGTGTCCATCAGCCGGGCCTTGGACCCCTCTTTCGGACCTCTCGCGCACATGTCGGCCAGTCTGTCACGAGGACCGTCACCGTGAATGCGCTCGTGTTTACGGGAAGTGGATCAGGATGACTGCAGGTCTTTCGGTTTCTGGTGGACGGTGCTGGCGTGTGAGTGTGTGTGTGTTCACATGGAGCGGCGCAGTCAGCCATGTGCGCTTTGTTTTCACGGAGCAGCACGGCCTCTGATTGGCTGCTGCGGGGTCTGCGCTCATTGCGCAACCCTCCCCTCCTGCTGTAGCCCCGCCCCCTGGAGCAGCAGGCGTTCAGCTGATCAGTAACCAGGTAGCAAACAGAACAGGTGAGACGTGCTGGTAAGTGCCCGGACGCTGGAGTTTTTTCCTGATCGGGACCGGAAGTTGAATCCTGTCAGACGTGACTGCAGTCAGGAGGAGATCCAGTCAGTGACTCATCTGCAGCAGAAAGCATTATCACACACACACACACACACACACACACACACACACACACTTATTCATCCTGCTTCCCAGATTTCAGAAGCATTGAAGGAATTTTGGGAAGATGTCTCCAGATTATGCTAACGCTAATTCCAGGATAATCTGGGTGAAGATGTGTGAAACATGACTGGAAGCTGGTTCTCTCTCTGCTTCCTGATAGCAGATTGATCAGTGATTGATCAGCCCAGCTCATTGACCTCTGGTGACCCCTGTGTTAGTCTGACTACAAATAAAATCTGAGGATTCATTCCAGAAGTTTGGATCGTTTGCCTCGCTTGGTGTTTTGAGATGACGTGAATCATTTGACTCAGTCCAAACAGAAAAGTCTCGCTCAGGGTGTTCAAGGGGCGGCCCGGGGCCCACTGGGGCCCTTGGGGTGATTGTGTGGCCTCCAGCTGCATTTCCGAAATGATACACAGGTGGAGACATTTTATTTGTAGTCAGACTAACATTATTTTCATATCATTTTCTTACAGGAAAATGTTAAGTTTAGCAATAAAGAGAGACATTAGGTGCTGTGGTGGCGCAGGGGCAAAAAGCACAACCCATGTATTGAGTTCTTGGTCCTCATGCCGGTGGTCGCAGGTTTGATTCCCGGCCTGGTGACATTTGCCACATGTCTTCCCCTTCTCTCATAACCCTCTTTCCTGTCAAACTACTTTCAAATAAAGGCCACTAGAGCCAACAAAACCTTTAAACAAAAAAAGCAATAAGCAGAGACTTTGCGAAAAGCACAATCAGCTTTCATTGAATGTTTTAAGTTTGGCTACAAATAGCAGCCAGTTTGAAAGAAACCCAGATCCTGTTGTAGATGCTTTTCTTTTAATACAGAAATCTGCAACATTCCCTTTCAAGTTTTAGATTTACAATTAATAATCATTTTGTTGGATTTAAAAAGAAAGACTTTTTATGTTTGACTTTGTATTATTTTTTTCCTGTGAATACTTTTGAGTCGACACCCTGGTCTAGCTTCTCAGAACACTAACATATCACTGACTATGTTACCCATAAGTCTCTGCTGCAGCTGGAGCCATCTCCATGGTTACTGTCTGTATCTAAACTGATGCAGGTCAAAGGTGCTTCAGATTTCTGTCCATAATGATTAAGGCCTGTTTTACTCTCCGATTGGCTGTTTGGTGGTGAAGCATTCTGGGAGTTGTAGTTCTCTGTGATGTGTTTGCTCATGGGCAGCATGTGTTACCTGAGCAGGTGCTTTTCTGCAGGTCAGTTGTTGTCAGGTATGTCCACTGTCCAGTCAGATCAGTCACAGCTGCAGCCGTTCTGATGTTACACACAGGTGTGTTTGACATTCAATATGCTACATACCTTCAGGGTGAAACACGTCCAGGTCATTTACCAGAGTTTATCAGAGACACACAGCGTGACCTCAGAGAAACGTCCACAGAAGATAGTAACTTTATTACATTTTGTCTTTACTGTAACATATCTTTCTTGGTGCACTGTGAGATTGTCCTTACTGTATAAAGTTTATTCCTAAATAAGGATTAAAATCTTTTATTGTTTTTGGTTAAAAGTGATCTAATGTAAATATATATTCAAACCAGAGAAAGACAGGAATCGTCCCAAATACTAGCAGAGAAACAGGATCTCCTGCTGGCTACTGGCTGAGAGGGGGCGGGACTTCCTGTCAGTGTGACGTCACACTGATGGGTGGTGGAACGTGAGGGCTGGGGGCGGGGCTTCCTCAGTCTCGTTGTAGGGCCTTGTGTGTGGAGGAGGCACGTGGCCTGGAGGCGTGACGCTGCCAGCACAAAGAGGAGGAGGAGGAGGAGGAAGATGCTGCTCCTCCAGACCTCCTTTCTTCTTTAGGTCTCATTTCCTGTCTGACGCTCCCCGATGGCCGGACTGCAGGGATCAAACCTCGCTGTTTTCACGCTTCATAGCTAGTCTTTATTTACATGTAGCCTCTGAAATAAGACGAAGACATTAAATTCCCTCACAGAGACGCAAAAAACACCCAGAAGGGGGCCAAAATAAAACCCAGAGGCAAAAGATTCAGAGGGATTAAAAACAACAAAAAAGAAAATAACCTTCCAAGCAAATGCTAAGCTAACCCAGAAGGATGCTAAATTACCACAGAAGAATTCTAAAGTACCATAGACATGCTAAGCTATCCTGCAGGGATACTGAACTATCATATATGTGAGCTAGGATGCTAAGTTACTCCACAGATATGCTAAACTACAATAGATGCATGCTAGGTTGCTAAATTACCACAGAGCGATGGAAAGCTAACCCAGAGGGATGCTGGGTTACCACAGATGGATGCTCTGATGCCAATTTAACCTACAGAGATGCTAAGCTGCCCCAAAGTAATGCTTTATTATGTCACAGGGATGATAAGCTACCCTACAGGGATGCTAAACTATCCCAGAGTAATGGTAATCTAACCCAGAGGGATGCTAAGCTAACCCAATAGGATGCTAAGTGACAGGCTAAGCTGACGGTGTCTCGGTGAAATCTCTGTCAGCCTGGAGCTCGCTCTGCCATCACGCTTCGGCCATCTTTAACACGCATGTAGAGTGAAACCATGAGGACAGCCTCAGGCGGTAAACGATGCTAAGCTGCGTGTGGTGATGATGAAGCAGTCATTGAGACAGCAGAACGGTTCCCATGAGGCTCTGACATGTCAACATGCAGCCGCCTGCAGCATGGCTGCATCACTACTTCCTGTTTCTGCTGCCTGAAGCTCAGGCTGCTAGAAACAACCCATCCTTCCATCTTTCTTCCTTTTTTCTCTCCTCATTTCTTTCTTCACAGGATAACAGACGGCGGCGCTCTAGATTTTATTTAGCGGCATCAGAATAAAGTGGGCTGGATTCATTCACATGCTGCACTTTTCAGATTTGATTTGTTCAAAAATGTTTCCTGAAAACATTTTGAAGTTTGTGTTTGGACCGGGGTGTGAATACTTTAGGAAGTTGCCATGGAAACAGGCTCACCTGCAGGTCTCTGTCCTCCAGCAGGGGGCGTCATCTCCTACGTGGGCTCCTGTGGAGGCTCCCCATCCCGGGGCAGCCCGGACTGCGGGGCCAGCCCGGACTCCATGGACAGCGAGAACTCAGACGCCGGCTTCGCCTCCTCCTCTTCCTCGCTGCCGTCCTTCCTCAGCAGTGACGGTTCCTCCTCCTCCTCCTCCTCCTCCTCCTCCTCGGCGGGCGGCTCTCCACAGGGGCGGGACGACGCCGCTGACACCACTGGCCCTCACAGAGCGTCGCCCAGCAAGTCCGTGGCCAGTTTGACCAGTAAGTGGCGAAGATGGATCCGTTTCCTGTTTCCTGTGAGGCAGTTAAACATCAGCAGCAATAATTTGGTTTATTAATCCTGAAAAAAATGTAGGCTTATTTTCATTCATTTATAAATGTCACATTTTCAAACTAAATATATAGTTTACAAACAATTTAGTCATTTCATTTACAAACTGTTTGGCGCTAAATATCTAGTTTGCTGACTAAATGTTTAGTTTGGAACAAAATATTTATTTTGCAGGTAAATATTTTGCTTACTGACTAAATATTTAGCTTGTTAATATTTAACAAGCTAAATATTGGAACAGTTAGCTTGCTAGCTAAATGTTTCATTAGAAACAAAACATTTACTTTGAAGCTAAAAACTTAGCTTGCTAACTAAATATTTAGTTTCATTTACAAATGAATGAATAACATTTAGAAAAAATAAGTTTGAAAAATCAACCTCAATTTTCTTTCAGGCTAAATAACTCTGGGTTACTACAAATATTTTTTGGAAGCTCTTTATGTTTTTTCCAACTGAATTTGGACTTTGCATCCATGTTTCTCAGTCAGGTTTTTATTCTAATCTGATCTTCTGACTGAATTGATTTTTGTGAATAATTGGTTCCTTAAAAATTTCTCGTCCACAACAGGTTTTAGGAGAAAAAACAGTTTTCCAACAATGTTACAAACTTGGATTAATAAACACTGATAAGGTTAATTACATGTAAACTGACGTCTCTGTTGGTCCTGGTGGAGTCTCTCCTCCTGCTCTTCACTCATTGGTGATTGATCCACATGTGAAAATGCTCTTTGATGCTCATGTTGCATCCATAGCTCAGAAAGTTGACCTGATTGAGAAAAACCAATGTGATTTTTGGATTCAGCTCATCAGAATGACAATAAAACAACTGAAAAACCCCAGACAATGTTGACCAGTGGAATCAGGCTGCTGATGTTTGGCAGGGTAGCAAACCATGTGGCGGCTCTCTGGAGAGCAGAGCTGTCTGCGCTTCCTGACGGTCCGGTTTGTTTCAGAGCTGAACGGCATGGTGCTGCTCTGCAAGGTCTGCGGAGACGTGGCGTCCGGCTTCCACTATGGCGTTCACGCCTGCGAGGGATGCAAAGGCTTCTTTCGGCGCAGCATCCAGCAGAACATCCAGTACAAGAAGTGTGTGAAGAGCGAGAGCTGCAGCATCATGAGGACCAACAGGAACCGCTGCCAGCAGTGCCGCTTCAAGAAGTGCCTCTCTGTGGGCATGAGCCGGGACGGTGAGTCCGCCGCCGCGCCGTCACACCGACCCGCCACGGCGTTTCCCTCAAAAACATGACAGTTATTGAGTGAAACATCATTAAATACAGAATCAACTGTGTCGCAATTAAATGATCTGATTCCCTTTTAAAAACTCCATATAATTATTTCATTAATGAATAATTTCATGTTTCTTTTCTGAATCGTGAATTAATTTAAACTGTTAACTTCAGCCATTAAACTCAGTGGGCGGGACTAGGGGAAATCCTGACGTCTGATTGGCTGCTTCAACAAGTCAAGACAAATTATTCCTTCTTTGCTTCTCTGAAATAATTGATTAAACCATGAAATATATAATTCATTCTATATTTAATCAATTATTTTTCTATTCATTTCCAGTTTTTAAAATTGATGACGTGTTTAAATATTTATAAGTTATTGTAATTTGTCATAGATACTTGGTAGATTATGACACCTCACCTGTCCACCGGGGGAGCTGTCCAGGGTGTCTCCAGGCTCCGCCCCTTCCTGCTCTCACCTTCCTCCTCCTCTTCTGTCTGCAGCCGTGCGTTTTGGCCGCATCCCGAAGCGCGAGAAGCAGCGGATGCTGGCGGAGATGCAGAGCGCCATGAACAACATGGTGAACGACCAGCTGCAGAGCGACTTCCAGCTCGCCAGCCTGTCCTCTTCCTCTTCTTCCTCACCAGAGGGCGCCATCGATCCCCAGCCGTCTCCTCCTCTTCCTCCCCCTTCCTCGCCGCCCCCCAACCCTGGGATCGACTCCACCATCAGCGCCATCGCCTGCGCGCACCGTGAAACCTTCCTGTATGCGCATGACAAGCTGAGCGAGCCGCAGCTTAGCCCCGCCCATCGCCACCCTGGGGTGGCGGAGCTTTGTCCCAACCGGAACGGCTTCAGCAAAAACAATAATCACAAAAACACCATGGACTGCTTCCTGCAGCAGGGTCACAACAACACAAGCAATTACCATGGCAACAAGGGGTGGAGTCAGCATTCCAGCACCGTGATTGGAGGACAGAGTCATGTGACCCAGCACCAGAGCTGTCCGCCAAAGAGTCGCTCTGGGATTGTTCTGGTAAGACCCGGGATGCTAACACCCATCGATAAGTGCTGCTGCTAGCTTAACCACTGCTAACTGCTGCTAGCTTAACCACTGCTAACTGCTGCTAGCTTAATGGGCTCTTATCGTTCCCAGGCTTGTCCAATGAACTTGCAGCCTCATGCAGACCCTTTAAAGACGCCCCAGGAGATCTGGGAGGACTTCTCGCTGTCGTTCACGCCCGCCGTCAGGGAAGTGGTGGAGTTTGCCAAGCATATCCCAGGATTCAACGGTCTGACCCAGAACGACCAGGTCACCCTGCTGAAAGCAGGCACCTTCGAGGTAAACCATGATGTCATTACAGACATCAGGGTCATGATTTAAGAATTTATAAGTTTATACTTCTATCTTCTGATTTTTAGGCTAAGTTAGCCTAACAAAAACAACGTTTGTTAGCTAAGGTTAGCCTGACCTGTTTGTGCTCTAAAGAGATTCTGTTAAATGCTAGTTACTACATTAGTACAGCAAAAACTGATTAGATGAAAAATTATGTTAGCTAACCTGTTAGCCTACATAGACATCACATCAATCTTAACATAATATTAGCTGATTTCCATTAGCTGTCAAATTTTCTTTAAAAAAAAGTTAGCTGCTGTTGACCAAATCCATATTTGACTTATTAACCAAGAGAGTTTAGCTTCTGTCATTTAGTAGATAGACTCCTAATAATTATTTAACATTGAGAGAACATTTATATATATACTTTATGTTCTTGTTTTTCTAGATAAAATATAGAAACGTTTGTTTCTTCTCGCTCCAGGTGCTGATGGTGCGCTTCTCGTCACTGTTCAACATGAAGGAACAGACGGTGACGTTTGTCTCTGGCGCCACCTACTCTTTGGAGGAGCTCCATGCGATGGGGATGAATGAGCTGCTGGCAGCCATGTTTGACTTCAGCCAGAAGCTAGCTTCGCTGGCGCTGAGCGCCGAAGAGCTGGGACTGTTCACCGCTGTAGTGCTGGTGTCCGCAGGTAAGCGTCAACATGCCGGGTTGCCTCCTGGACCGCCAGGTGTCTCCCAACGAGCTAACAGCCGTCCTCTTTCTGTACTACTTTGATTTGCAATGAAAAAGCCCACAGTATGGTGCTGCCAATGCATACAGTTGGTAAAGCATCCTTAGGTTTGAAAGTCTCACATTCATTGACCATAACCCTAAACAAACTAGACAAACATTGCTGCGCATCCAGCAGTGGCTACTTCCTTTGATTGGCTGCCATTTTTCATCCTGGCCGGTAAGTGGAGCTGCCAGCACTGGCTAATGACAAAGAGGCTACAAGCTATGAGCTAGTGTTAGCTTTGGAGACTAGCATGCCGAAGCTGATGGCCACCTTCTGGATAGCCTTTTTCCTCTGCTGAATGTTAGCACATATAAGCTAGGTTAAGAATAACATTGGTTAGGTTAGCTTTAGCAATGGATATGCCATCATTAGCCTTGAATGGGCTAGCGGTAACATTGGATAGACTAGGGTTAGCAATAGATTGGTTTGCTTTATCATGGAATAGGTTAACTTTAGCATTTGGTAGTTTAACATAGGCCTTGGATATGCTAGCATTAGCTTTGGATATGCTAGCATTAACCCTGGATAGGCCAGCGCTATCATTGGATAAATCAGGGTTAGTAGTCTCTAGGATGTTAGCTTGTCTAAAGCTAACAAGTACCCTTCTCCTCATTTGCTGGTTGCTAAGTTATGGGCTCTGGTTGCTAGGTAACTGATATCAGTGACCTCACTGTCATCATTCCTTCACAGATCGGTCTGGCATCGAGAACCTGCCGTCCGTTGAGCATCTGCAGGAGAACCTGATCCGGGCACTTCGCTGTCTGGTCAACAACACGGCCGGCGCCGGCAAGCCGCCCGTCATGGATTCTCCACGCTTCACCAAGCTGCTGCTGCGGCTGCCCGACTTGCGGACGCTCAACAACATGCACTCAGAGAAGCTGCTGTCCTTCCGCATCGACCCCTGATGACTCCGCAGCGCAACGCTGCAACAGACACATGCACCCTCCACAATAAGAGTCTGCTCGCCTGATCCGAACTATCATACATTCCCACTTCCTGTTGAGACCATCATCATCACCATCACCATTATCATCATCATCCCTGATGTTCTCCAGAGCAGCTGGATGGAAACAAAGATCCTCTTCCAAAAGTCTCCTGCTTTTTGGCAGGACCCTTGCTTGCCCTTCGCTCACCAAACATCTGCATCTGTCAGCAGCAGATTGGAGCTCCATGTTTAGGAGCTCTGCAGATCCAGGATCGGTCCATCCAGATGTTTAGGAGCTCTGCAGATCCAGGATCGGTCCATCCAGATGTTTAGGAGCTCTGCAGATCCAGACTTCCAGCACTAGGTGCTTCAGGTTCAGCTCTTCCATTCACTCTGAGGGATTAGCTCCGCCCCATCGGCACCAGCAGCCAATGAGAAGAGGAGGCAGCTCCGTGGACCAATGAGACGGCGGGATGCTGAGCGGCGCCTCAGCTGAACATTAGACATGTAAAACTTGTAAATGCTGAAACATCCAGATATACTTGAACTGTTGCCGTCTGTTAATCGTCTGTGTGAAACACTGAAGCCTCTGGATGAGCAGCAGAGGCACAAAGTGTTCAGGCAGGAAATCTTCTCATGTCTGTATTTTAATGTTTGGAAATCCATTTAAGTAATTCTATAAATTCTCACTGAAGATGCTGATCTGTGCCTCATTTCCTGCTTTCACCGCTTCGCCTGCCTAAAACCAGTAAAAAGCCAAACAGCTTTTAATAATTAAAATCATTACAATGGAAGGAGTTTAATTCATGATTTTTATAATAAAATATTAAATAAAAAATTCTGCTAAATTACCGTATTTTCCGCACTATAAGGTGCACCTAAAAACCTTCAATTTCCTCAAAAGCCAACAGTGCGCCTTATATATGGACCAATATTGAGCCACAACAGGTCTATCAACTACGGTAAGCATAGACATATTATAAGGATAGACCCTCATGGACCGCTCTCGCCTATTG